CTGTTTCTCAAGTTGAGAAAATGCTAGTTCTCAACTTGAACTCCAATGTAATTCTGCAATTGGTCTCAAACATATCATTGAAATACTGAAATTGAAATAGTAAAATACCTTATACCTTTTTGATTGAAACGACATACATAGATGAATTTAAATATTAATTTTTCATTTTATTACTCCTTTAAGCAAAATCGTATTACAATAATTCACTTCACAGTACACAGTCCGACAGTAATTTTGCCACTTGGTTCACTTGGCGTTTTATTTTCTTTCAAGATTATTTCAGGATGTTTTGAAGATTATTTACTTTTTGTTGGTAATTTTCCTCTTTGAATAGCTTTAGTTTTTCACTTGATAATTAAATATTCGTTTCTCTATCACTTTTTATGTATCTGCGCGTCGGTTAGAGATGAGTTGGAGAATGATGTTGGATATCAACTTGAGAACTATGAATTTCTCCAAGGTTGGAGAAATATTTTTTTGGTGTTTATTGGGAACAAATACGCAAACAAACCATCCAACTACTTCATCCGCGGTAGCCGAGTAGTGGAGGCTGCGTACTAAATGCCTGCAGGCCCCAAGTTCGATCCTCAGTTGAAGCCATTTCCAAAAAAAAATGTGTTTTTATTGTTACTTAAATTTTTTTACTTTTATTTGGTTTATGTACATATTTTTATTTTCGTTTCGTTATTTTATTTCATATTTTTTATTTTATTATTAGTTAATTTAAATAAGGATTCGTCGGATTCGAATTTACGTAAATGCGTATTACTGCCGGTAGGGGCACCGTTGATCCGGATCAACGTTGCCGTCTGTCTATGCTTTTAGGTCGCCTTAGGACGAGTTGAGTGTACCACATTTTGCTCTTAATAAGAATGATTTATGTACATATTTTATTTTCGCTTGATTTATTTTATTTCATTTTTTTTATTTTATTATTAGTTAATTAAAATAAGGAAATATAAAAGTTACTAGCAGACCCGGCGAACTTCGTCCCGCCCAAAATTTTTATATATTTTATTGAAACTTTTTGGTCCAACATTTTCACCAACAATTCACGTTTACGATTTCATTGGCACATTTGTCTGCTAAGATTAAGGTTTGGTGGTCATTTGCCGCTTTAAATAACCTAAGGAAAGGGTTATATCCGTTCTTGAAATTCTCCAGTTGTGCGGCATTTCATAGCACGGTTATTCGCAAAGCGAAATAAATTTGTTCCTCTTCACTCCCTGGCGACAACAAGGACCCGGTTCTATAGTGAATGTCCTAGAAGCTTTACAGTATAGTAGGTGGCAATTTCAAAATGGGTGCGAATCATTGTTTTGCAGAAATGCAATATACATTTACTTATTTCAGACGAAATACCTTAAAAGTTTGAACGCATAAAAATATTGGAAAATCACATCCATTGGGCCAATTGCAACGCAGGACCGTCGATATACTCAATGGTGCAACAGGTCGATTTAATCTGACCCTCACGGCCCCTTTTCTCACTTGGCTATTTTTAGTAATAGCTCGACTTCAGCACCACTTGGCAGCACGTTTTTGCAATAGTATTGCATACATATTTAAAACATTAGCCAAATCGGATCATAAATAAGATTTTTAGTAATAACTCAACTACAGCGCCAACTGTCGGATTAAATTGTGAAACTAAACAATCCAGAGACCCACTCTAATACACAAAAAGTTTCGTTAAAATCCGTACAACCATTTAGGAGGATTTTACTCACAAACACACCTACAGAAGAATAAAAAAATTCTTTCAAAGATAGCTAAAGGTCGGTAGGTTTGTAGGCCTCACACCCCTTTTCAAATAGCCCAAATTTTCTCCATGAGTATGGGCTTGTTATATATATACATATCTCCATACGAAGTTCCAGTACTGTACCATAAATACTTTCAGAGATATGCAGTATAAAAATTCGATTTATATGGGAGGAGCCACGCCCCCCTTTCCAACAGCTGCCCTCTTTCTTCATGAGTTTGCGATTGATTTCGTATATCTCCATACCAAGTTCCAGAACTCTACCATGAACACTTCCAAAGATAGGCAGTATGAAAAATCCGGAAGATATGGAAGATGCCACGCCCCCTTTTCCAATAGTTCCAATTTTTCTCCAAGAGTATGCGATTTATTTCGTACATCTCCATACAAAACTCTAGAACTCTACCAAAAAATTTCCAGAGATAAGCAGTATGAAAAATTCGGTTTGTGTGGGAGATGTCACACCCCTTTTTAATAATAATAATAGATTGGCGCTTACACATATGTTAGTGTTTGGCCGAGCTTCTCTTCCGACTTGTGGCGTGCGCCTTGATGTTGTCACACAAAGCGGAAGGACCTACAGTTTTACGCCGACTCCGAACGGCGATTGTATTTTTATGAGAAGCTGTTTTTTCATGGCAGAAATACACTCGGAGGTTTGCCATTGCCTGCCGAGGGACGACCGCTGTTAAGAAAAAACCTTTTTCTATATTTTTTGTGATGTGTCTCTGACCAGGGCTTGAACCCAGGTGCTGATGAGTGAAAGCACGCACTGCTTACCACTACACCACAGCGGCCGACACCCCTTTTTACTATGGCTAAATTTTTCTCCAAGGGTATGCGATTGATTTCGTATATCTCCATACCAATTTCCAAAACTCTACCATGCACACTTTCAGAGATATGTAGCATGAGAAATTCGGTTTGTATGGGAAGTGCCACGCCCCCTTTACATATAGATTTTTTTCAGCCTAAAACCATCCTTGGGACACGTGCGGCAGGTGGCAGTTTCAAAAAAATCGGTTCAGCCGCTCTCGAGCCTTGCGAAAACTAACAAACAGCTTTCTAAATATAAATTAGTTGAGATATATTCTATATTATAATTATATTTTGACAGTATCCGTTGTTTCTTATTGGCGCAAAAAAATCTTGCCTAGTGACGAATTCTCCCTTTGATATGGTCGTTACTTAAAGCTATTTATATTCGAAATTGCATGAAAATTGGAAAACAGGAATCTATAAGCTTATCCAGGCAAAAGGCTACCTAAGTACCGAATTTTAAGCAAATCGGACCATAAATACGATTTCTTCGAACAGATCGGTCCCTGGTCCACTTCTCGGGCAAAATGGATCATTTGTGCTAATATATGCTAAAAAGCCACCTACGTACCGAATTTTATGCAAATCGGACCGTAAATACGATTTTTTCGAATAGATCAGTCCCTGGTCCACTTCTCGGAGAAATGGACCATATATCCTAATATATGCTAAAAAACTACTTACGTACCGAATTTTAAGCAAATCGGACCATAAGTGCGATTTTTTGGAATAGATCGGTCCCTAGTCCACTTCTCGGAAAAAAATTTATCACATGTGCTAATACATGCTAAAAAGCTATCTGCGCACCGAATTTTAAGCAAATCGGACCGTAAATTCGATTTTTTCGAATAGATCGGTCCCTGGACCACTTCCCGGAAAAAATGGGTCATATATGCTAAAAAGCTACTTACGTACTAAATTTTAAGCAAATCGGACTATAATAAGATTTTTTCGAATAGACCGGTCCCTGGTCCACCTACAAGAAAAAAAGTAAAATTTTTTAGCCTAAAACATGGTGGTTACCGAAAGCTATTTGTGTACAAAATTTCATGAAAATCGGACCAGCCGTTCGCGAGATTACCTGTTACAAAAAAAAGGACTTCTCTTTATATAATTAGTATAGATAACTGAATTAATAAAAAAATTAATATTCTAATTACTGGTGGTCTGAATGAAGTTGTCGACAATATTCCGTATTATCACTGTCGTTTTTCGAAAATTTACACAGTTGCCTGTCACTTTTATGAAATAGGCCCCTGGGCGATATTAGTTTTAATACATATTTTAGATTATGGGTTACTGGGTTGAAATAAGCGTACACAAGGAAAAGTTCTAAACATAGCTTGGAATTTTTACGTCAGCTTTGTAGAAAACCTGATGGACTATAGAAAGCTAATGCAAGGCTTTCCATATTGCTATACAGTGCCTATCCTTATATACTAACGGGTGATTTTTTTGAGGTTAGGATTTTCATGCATTAGTATTTGACAGATCACGTGGGATTTCAGACATGGTGTCAAAGAGAAAGATGCTCAGTATGCTTTGAAATTTCATCATGAATAGACTTACGATCTGCCACAACGTCGAATTTTCAGTGAATGGGCCCTAGAAAAGTTGGCAGAAAATCCGCTTTTTTATCGACAAATTTTGTTCAGCGATGAGGCTCATTTCTGGTTGAATGGCTTCGTAAATAAGCAAAATTGCCGCATTTGGAGTGAAGAGCAACCAGAAGCCGTTCAAGAACTGCCCATGCATCCCGAAAAATGCACTGTTTGGTGTGGTTTGTACGCTGGTGGAATCATTGGACCGTATTTTTTCAAAGATGCTGTTGGACGCAACGTTACGGTGAATGGCGATCGCTATCGTTCGATGCTAACAAACTTTTTGTTGCCAAAAATGGAAGAACTGAACTTGGTTGACATGTGGTTTCAACAAGATGGCGCTACATGCCACACAGCTCGCGATTCTATGTCCATTTTGAGGGAAAACTTCGGAGAACAATTCATCTCAAGAAATGGACCGGTAAGTTGGCCACCAAGATCATGCGATTTGACGCCTTTAGACTATTTTTTGTGGGGCTACGTCAAGTCTAAAGTCTACAGAAATAAGCCAGCAACTATTCCAGCTTTGGAAGACAACATTTCCGAAGAAATTCGGGCTATTCCGGCCGAAATGCTCGAAAAAGTTGCCCAAAATTGGACTTTCCGAATGGACCACCTAAGACGCAGCCGCGGTCAACATTTAAATGAAATTATCTTCAAAAATGTCATGGACCAATCTAACGTTTCAAATAAAGAACCGATGAGATTTTGCAAATTTTATGCGTTTTTTTTAAAAAAAAAGTTATCAAGCTCTTAAAAAATCACCCGTTATATACCCGCATACATACATATGCACACATATATTTGAAACCCACCTGGTCGTCCGCCGCTCCAACGCAAACTCTTGTCATAGCGGTCATTAAAATGTGGTATTTGATATTGAGGCTGATATTGGCTGTGAAATTGTTGTTGATAGTACTGCTGTTGCAATAATTGTTGCTGTATTTGATGTTGCTGTTGCGTACGTCTATGGCTTTTGTTGGTCATTGAATAAGCGTGATGTGTTCGCACATATTTATCATCAACCTGAAAATAGGTTTTTAATACATCAATTGGTACAGTCGTGGTGTAATAATAACAAGGTGCTGATAATAACGTAACCTCACTTTTCGGTAGTCTTATTTCGGTCAAGTATTTCACGGGACTTACGACGAATTTAAAGCTATTTAATAAAATTTTTATACTTTTATAATTTGAACTTTTGCTTAATTATATGATGCATCGAAAGTCAATTTCCCCAACACAAATAAGGACACATTAAGTGCTTATTATAACTATACGACACCTACATAAAAACACGTATTGACTAATTAGTTTTTTATTATTTAATTTTAATTGTTCCTTAATGAAAGTATAGTTCATATCAATCAAATTTTTAAACTTTGTACAAAAATTAAAAACATCAACAAAACTTCATAAAAATTTAGCACTTTTGATTTAGAATGGGTATTCGACCGTTCCAGAGTGTGGCGTGTGGAACAAGTTAGGTGGACAACAAAATTCATACAAGGATTTCCAGAAATTGGTAACTTAGTAACATAAAGGATATCCTCAACACTCTGACTGATTTTTTTTATGGTCTACATTCTACTGTAGGGTGTCGCAGTGATCAGAAATATATTTATAATCTAACTGAAACCAACAAAACTTTGGTAAATCTTATATACTTTTTGAAAAACTTGTCATTTTGGAGGTGTGTGATTTTCTGTCAACTTTGAATAACGAATCACATTTATAGTGATATTTATCACATTTACTGTACTGTTTCGAAATTTTAAAAATTTTATATATTTTTTTATTTTTTCAAACTTTTCTAGGACTGAAAGTAACATGTCTATATCTTAAGCAGGGATTACGTGATTTGTACATTTGTACATTTTGACAGTTATAGAGTGGAGTTTTTTCATTGAGCTGAACTCATTCTCGATACAAATTTCTAGACAACGCCACTCTGTGACTGCCAAAATGTGCGAATCGTGTGATTCCTCTTTAGCTGCGTCTTTTCCGTTTAAAGACATTTTTACATTTACATTTTTACAGCACACTAGAGTACAACTACTTGTTTTTTTTTATATATTACAAGTTTAGAATTTTTCGAAGAATGGCTAAAGGTCGGTAAACGTGATGGAAACGTTCACCTTTATACAGTGGCAGATTCTGTAGTCTTGTCCGCCCTTTTTTCAGCTCCCATTATTTAGGTACTGCTTATAAAATTTGTCTTTTTTCGACTTTTATCTAAATACATACAGTCTCTGTATTGCTTACTGCTAACTACGATTGCACTTCCAAAAATCTGCCAAATCTGGAAAATATGGGCCAATAACTTTTTTTTAATAATAATAATAGATTGGCGCTTACACACATGTTAGTGTTTGGCCGAGCTTCTCCTCCGACTTGTGGCGTGCGCCTTGATGTTGTCACACAAAGCGGAAGGACCTACAAGTTTTACGCCGACTCCGAACGGCGATTGTATTTTTATGAGAAGCTGTTTTTTCATGGCAGAAATACACTCGGAGGTTTGCCATTGCCTGCCGAGGACGACCGCTGTTAAGAAAAAACCTTTTTCTATATTTTTTGTGATGTGTCTTTGACCAGGGCTTGAACCCAGGTGCTGATGAGTGAAAGCGCGCACTGCTTACCAATACACCACAGCGGCCGACAAACTTTTTTTTAGTTGTTTTAATAAAAACTTAGTTTTTTTTTTTAGTAATTTCAATAAAAATTAAAATTGTTTGAAAGAGCTTCAGACAAATACGGTGAATCAAAAACGGCTTGGTGATTTTTTTAATATTCAAAATGTTTAAAATTTCTTGGCTGTTTTTTCGAACAATCATAGTGTTTAATTACATACCTGTCTATTTAATCTTTTTATTTAAATCAAATCAAATTTAATCAAATATTTAGGCAATTAAAAGCTCTTCAGGATTCCAGTAAAATGATCTTTAAATGAAGCACGATATCGATATACTTACATACATATGTATAAAGTATAAAAAGTGTGCATTAAAGCGTTCGAAAATAAATGCAATAACGAAGAGTACACTTTTGAGAAGAAGCTTAAAATATAAAGATTAATGCGATAATTTTCAATTAAAACGGCCCCAAGCTTAATAAAAATTGTTTAATAGCTGTCAGCGATTCGCCACTTCGCTACTTGCTATATTTGAGTTCCGGTCGCGTAATGAAAAATTTTGCATGTGAAAGCAACAACAAAGTTAGCTAGCACGGATAGACGATAGTGAGTTTGTTTGTACCACATTGAGTCCGTTCGTTTCGCCACTCGCTAACTGATGGCGAATCGATAACGGCTAATAATAATAGATTGGCGCTTGCACATATGTTAGTATTTGGCCGAGCTTCTCCACCGATTTGTGGTGTGTGTCTTGAGGTTGTCACACAAAGGGGAGGGACCTTCAGTCTTACGCCTACTCCGAACGGCGATTGTATTTTTATGAGAAGCTGTTTTTCATGGCACTCGGAGGTTTGCTATTGCCTGCCGAGGGGCGACGCTACACATAGGGGTATTTGGCCGATTTGGGCGACCAAAATTATTTTTATGAATAATTCAACTCGAAATGTTTAGAAAAGACGTGTTTTGACATTTAGAATTGTAAACGTTTAAAATCAAGTTATATTCGATATTTCGAAATTTAAGGATGCTAATTTACTCCAAATTGATACTAAGAATAATCCCTTGAAAAGAAGTAACATTATTTTGGAATTTTGGAAAATGTGCGTGATACCACCCACATATAACTATATAAGTTTATCTCACTAAGTCTAACTGAACGTTGTATCAAACATGTTTGAAATATGGGTAAAACACCATGTAGCGGTAGTTTTCGGAAAGGTGAAATAACTTTGTATATTGAATACTAGCGCCGAGCATTTAATGTTTGGCTCCGCCCGAACTTAGACTTTTTACTTGTTTACTATCAATTTAATATGATTTTAAAATACTGGCAAACCTATAAAAAAATCATGGTCGATGAATTTAGGGAACGGTTTTACCTCACTATGTTTTTATCAAGGGTAAAAATCCCTATGGGTAAGATGGAGTATAATTACGTTGACCATCCGTTCTGTTTTTTGCAGGACCGTACTGTTATTTAAAGGTCTGTCCTGCGTAGTTTTTCAAAACAGAAAACCCCCAAAATGTTCTGATTTTTTCCAAGTGTCCTGCCTTTGTACCGCATTTTCTTCGATATTTTAAAATTAACTTTTCCTAATCGAAATAAAACCAGTGTAAGTAAGTAAATATTGTACGGTTATGGACAATGGGTGACGAGAAATTGAAGACCAGCATCAAATATATCGATAACACTGTTCTACAAATTTTGTGGTAATCGCTTAAGAAAAAAAAATATATTTTCCAAGCCGATTTTCTTTGCAAACAAGCATTTTCGTAATTTTTTCGAAAAAAGTGTTTTTGGTACATTTCGGACCTATTCGTCAATGTCTCATGAAAAAATTATCCAATCAAGATAAGCGACCTACAAAAATATATTACTTTTCGATTTAAATGAAAATTATTAGTGTCACAAGCGACCAAAATCGAAAAATTGAAATTTCAATCATTTTATTTTTACAGTAAATGAAAATCCGATGAAAAATGTAGATGTTACGGAACACAATCTGCACAAAAAATATATATTTTTGCAAAGAGCCCATCAATACCTTTCGAACTGTTGGCCGTTTCATGAGTTATTGAGGAATAACTGAAAAAGTACAAAAAATACGTTTTTCGAACAAATCTCGAAAACACTTCTTTGAAACCATGGGTATTTTTCGTGTTCAACGACCCAAAGTTTGCCTAAAAAAATTTGCTTTACAGAGGTTCATATTTCGTGTAAAGTAATATGTAATATGCCTTATTATAATTTTGTAAATATTCATTTATATAAGATTAATACCAATGAAGCAAATGCGATTTATGCTTAAAGTTTAAAATTGGATTAATAATTAAGAAATATACCATCTTCGTTATTTGAATAGCGCATCCTTTTAATACTTAGTAGGTACTGTTTTCCTTTTGTTTGTTTAATATTCATTAACTTTTTATAAAAATATAGCATATTCTACCTCTACATCCCATTTAAAAAATTTTTGAAAATTAAAAAAAAAAATAAACATAGGGGCGACAATTTTTTTTGTATACGGTGCTGCGTATTTTCTTCCATATAAAAATTTTGTCAAGCATACTTTGTATGGTAAAAAATCAAAAAAAGGGTACGCTATTCAAATGACGAGGAATGTATATATGTAGTATATTTTTGTTATTTTTATACGACGCAATTATATGCAGGTAAATTTTTTGAAAAATTGTCCTGCATTTTCAAAATATATTTATGGTCACCGTAAGTATAATAGAATTTCTCGATACAACGAACACCTTTATTATAAAATCCGTTATACATATAGATATAACATAAGTCAGGATATCAACTTAAAAAAGCAGCATGGCCTTTCTAAAGAGAGCTTTACGCACTGCTATAAAATGTATGTAGGTTACTTTCGAAAATGTTAGGCTCATATTTTCGACATTACTTAAGCTGCGACAATATTGTTGATGTTCTTCAAAAGCTAGTTATCTTCGAACGTACAGTGAAATGCGATAGTAACCATTTGAAGTGCTTGGTCGGTTATCCCTTAACGACATACACTGTATACACTGCACTGTTGCTTGAAAAAAATATTCTTTGATAACGCATTTGCAAGAACTTAAATATAACACTTTTTTCTCTTACAAAAATAATTGCGGAACAAACGTTGTGAGTGGATAGATATTTTGCCGCAACCCATAATAAAATCAAAATTTTTTAGCTTTGGTCCTAGAATTTACATAGCCATTTCTAGAAGGATCTTCTATTCTAAATAAAACAAAATTGCTTAAGAAATATTGTTAACTAAGGGATGTTCTGCTGAAATCGGCAATAAAATCTACATTTTGTTAGCTTTAGGTTTGTCGCCTTAAGCAAATATTATTCCCAACAAAAATTTTTACTGGATTGGTATTCTACCGGAATCCGCAATGACCCCTTGCTACATGAAAAAGAAAAAATGTGTTAATGTAATAAGTTGGAAGAATTATTAAAAGGTAGGTCTCCCTGGAAATGTGTTTAAAAATGCTTTGTGTCTCAAAAATATTTAAGAGGCTTCCCTACTGTTTCAAAAAGCCAACAACATAAATTAAGGCAATTAGGTAATTGAAATATGTATCGAAATTCGCGTGTCAGATGAAAAAGCATTAAGAAGATTTTAGTTTGAAAGTTCTTTTGAAATGGATTTCCACCTGTTTAATAGTCAAAGTTAGTTAAGTGATAGATACACAAGCTTTATGAAATAATATAATATGAGTGATAACCGAAAGGGATATATGAAAGAATTAGTTTGAAAATATATTGGGTTAGGCTTGCCAACTTTTCGAAAAGTCATACTGATCCAACTTAGCAATATGAGAGGTCGAAATAAAGACCTGAAGATGTGTGATAAATTTTACTTTTTTTGAAGTTGGAACTTTTTAATTTTAAAATTTGATGACACTAAAAACCGATACCATGCGAGGCGTCTCTTCGCTCAAAAACGGCTTCACGGATTTAGATGAAATGTGGCAATCGTATCGTTTATAACTCTGACTAACATTTTGTATAGTTTATAGGTTTTTGAGATAAGATTATGAGCGTTTTAACACCATGCGGGTTCACTAGTTTATTGGAAAACATTTGACTTACCTTCTTGCCATTGATGAGCCAAGTGATGTGCGGTGCGGGAAAGGCGCGAGTCGTATTGCATAAAGCAAATAATTTTTCCCCTATGACAAACGGCATTCGTTTTCGGAACTTTATTATGGGTGGACCAGTTTGTGGCACTAAAATTTGACAGAAGCCATATTAGTTATTAATCAAGTAGTAGTAGTAGTAGTAGTAGTGTGTATATATATAGTATACATGTATATATAGATTTACATAGGTATTTGCAATTTTTAAACTTACAAAATACTGATAGCAGTTCATCGACAGACGCCTTTGTATAAATAGGTGCGTCCGTTGAAACCTCGCAGAAAAATTGTCCAGACAAATCAAAGTCAACATTTTTCAACGTCACCTGTGTTTCATTGGAATTCTCCCACTATTAAATATTGATGTAAAGATAAATATGTTAATTAGGGCAGTCCATACGACTACATACTATATAATAAAGATATGTAAATGTAGTTGTATAATATTATTTGGTTAATTTTAAAAATATGCTGTATGTATTTCTGTAATTTGAAAATTTGGTTTAATAATACTTATTTCTAAAAGGAATGTTTCTGTTACCAAACGATATGTCCTTTAACCCTTAATTAGGCGCATAAAGAAAATTACACAATTAGTCGCATGGGGTCCCGAGTGACCCCAATAAAAGTCTTGAAAAAAGAGCTTTAGAAACAAAAAAAAAATTTGTATTATCAAAAATATTAAAGTACTCTATTATCGTTAACATAAACTTAAGTCAGCCAAAAAATCTTACGTTAGTAGTCGCATGGGGTCAGCACTAAAGGGATTAGCGACACATGTGCACGCGACGACGTTATAGCTGTGACTAAATAAATAAAACGAAATTTGTATTGTCATCAGAGTGTCCAGATTTGGCGATTTCGCGCCAATTTGGGTATTTTTCTTGGGTATTTGCGCGTAAAAATTTAGGAAATCGCCATTGGCCATTTTTGGCGATTTATCCCCTTCAAATACACTTTTTCCAATTAAAAAACTATACACAACTTAGTTTTCCACGATAATTTTACAGAAGAGGCTAATATGAACTGCGTGATAAACTTGACTTAAAAAGCATATTAAATGACTGTCAAAAATGTTTAATCACCCTTATCCAAGAAACGATTTTAAAACGATTACCTGGTCAATTAAGTACTTTTAAAAAGGCTTTGATTTTGGCACCAGAAACGTGTGTGAATCACAAGAGGGCGAGTTTCAGGGACCAGCCAATTCACAATTTGACTTTGAAGGAAAGAAAAGCAAAGCAGCATCAACTGAATATTTTAATCTTTTAACTTTCCCATGGAATAACTTTTTTCAGAACCATTCCATCCGACTCTGAAGAATTTTGAATAATTGCTTACGGAGTGAAAACCGCAACAGGCAATAAAATGTCTGGAAATATAAGTAAAGTAGCCTTCATATTATTATCCTTGCCGCACTCACATGCTTTTGTTGAGCGCGTTTTTTCCGTAATGAATTCAACAAAAACTAAGATTCGAAATAGGATGAGGTTGGAAAGCCTTAATTCAATAATTCAAATAAAGTGTTATATGAAGACTAATAGTTTCTGCTGCAACACGTTTAAACAGTATGCTATCAAGATTGAATAGCTCAATATATGACAAAAACAGAAATATAAATGTGAGAACTATGAGGGTGGATACTCAATTTTACAGCAAATGAATTGATATTTATTTAAATTAGGAATGACAGAGTATGATTATGAAAATATAGATTGAAAGTATAAAAGTATTCCTCGATGTTCTTGCTACCGCGGCACGTTTGTTTCTGCTCGAGTCTGTCTACCCACTCGTTGGGACAGCGGTGTCTGGGTTGCCATCGCTTACAGTCGGCTTTCCTGACCTTTCGGAGCGCCCTCGCCCGAAGTGTCGCCCATAGGGTCATCGTCGTCGAAATCATCAGGTGGTAATGTACACCAAAGTTTTAGCTGATCTGATGCGAATACTGATGTGTAATGGCGTTGTGTTCGCTGGGCATGTGGTAAATCTTCGATCACATACCGGCCGTTTGGAAGGACCTCGCGAATGGTCGTTTGGAAGGACCTCGCGAATGGTCCTTTGTAACGGGGTTCTAATTTCCGGGAGGTACCTGTACTTGTCGGCTCGTTCGTTGTTAGTACTAGGTCACCTTGCTTGTAGATCTTTGGACTAGCATGTCGAGCATCGTATCGTCGTTTAGCTTGCGCTCTTACATCATCGATTCGGGTAGCGGCTGTAGCCCTTAGTTGTTGTAAGTCGGTGTCGGTTAATGTGTCAGCTTGATCATCCTGAAGCGTTTGGATGAGCTGGTTTTGCAATATGTCGCGTGGTGTGTATCCATACAGAAGCTGGCATGGAGTACATCCAGTTGTCTTGTTGGTCATCGTATTGATGCTCCATTGCACCTGGCGTAACTTGTCGTCCCATCGTCTTTCGTTATCGGTAGATGGTAACAACATAGACAAGATGACGCGGTTTGTGCGCTCGGCATGGCCATTTGCACGTGGTGTTCGGACTGCTTTAAGAACATGTTTCACGTTGTTGTCTTTACAAAATGTCTGGAAAACTTTCGAAGTAAAAGCAGTTCCTCGGTCGGAGATAATACTCCCAGGCATTCCCACGTAGCTTGTTACTTCTTGTAACGTCTGTATAACATATTTGGTGGCAGTGCTTTTCACTGCGCGGATGATGGTAAATTTCGTGAATGAGTCGACGATCACGAATATGTGTTCGTGTCCTTTGGACATGGTCCCAGATGATCCATATGAATAGTTGCGAATGGAATCGGCTTAGTGTGGTCGTAGTGGTACTGACCTTCTCGTCGACCACCAGGCGATTTATTTAAAACACATCCGATGCACGATTGAATATAGCTCTTGACGTAGTTCCTCATGCGCGGAAACCAAAACAAATTAAGGATTCGGTCAATAGTTTTATCGACGCTCATGTGACCTGCCCTATCGTGACACTCTTGGAGTACAAGTTGTCTAAGCTGTTTTGGAACAACCCATAGTAGTTTATGGTTGCATTTACGGTATAGGCGTCCTAGTTCGATGACGTAATCAGTGTACTCTGATTTCTTTCCGGTTCGCATCTCGTTGACAATCCGTTTGACGTTGGTATCCTGTAATAGGATGCTGAACAACAAGTCGGCTTCATCGATAATCGTCATGGAGATTTTAAGATCGGCGGTATCGAGTTCGTGTGCATCTTCGTAGGGGGCGCGGCTTAACGCGTCAACATGTGCCATTCGGGAACCTGCTCGGTGTGTAATCTCGATGTCGAACTCTTGAATCCTCAACCACCATCGGGCGATGCGTGGTATCAGCTCTCGTTTTTCCATCGTCGTTTTTAAAGCGCTGCAATCGGTAATCACTTTAATCGTCTTGTCTTACCGTAGACGTAGTATTTGAATCTCTCCAACGATTCTACGACTGCCAGAGCTTCAAGCTCATAGCTGTGAAACCGTTTTTCGTTGTCCGTAGTAGAGCGACTAAAATATGCTATCGGCTGGAGCTGACCGTTCTCCAATTGCATTAGCACACTAGCGAGGCCTACAGAGCTGGCGTCAGTGTGCAGCTCGTGTTCGGCTTCTATGCGGTAGCTTACCATTGCCGGCTTCGACGTTAGCGAACGTTTGAGATCGTTGAATGCTGATTCTTGTGGTTGCCCCCACTTGAACTTGACGTTTTTGCGTAACAGATTGCGTAGCGGCTCGGAAATTATTTAATATCCGGCGACGAACTTCCGGAAATACCCACTGAGGCCTAAAAACTTGCGTACCTCGGTGACACTTCTAGGTTGCGGAAAACGAGCAATAGCGTTACTTTTTATTTCGCCGGGGCTGATGCCGGCAGGAAGTAGTTGATGTCCCAAAAATATTATCGTCTGCTTGTATAGCTCACACTTGTTGATATTTAATGTGAGTCCACATGTCCGTAGTACTTGAAGTATGCGCGAGAGTTTTGCATACATCTCATCGAAAGAGTTGCTGCCGATTAAAATATCATCCATGTAGTGGAGCATGTCGCCCTTCTCTACTCGTTTTTGGAGTTCTGCCATAAGTCGATTGAAAATTGCTGGCGCGTTCTTCAGTCCAAACGGCATGCGTTTAAACTCGTAGAGCCCATCGGTGGTAATGAAACCGGTGAACTTTCGGCTTTCGGGTGCCATTGCTATCTGGTAATAGCCACTGTTTAAATCCAGGGAAGAGAAGAATTTAAATCGTTTTGCTTCGTGTAATCGTTCCTCGATGTTTGGAACAGGAAAATTTTCCTTTTTCATTAGCTTGTTGAGGCGCCGGTAATCGATGCATAGTCGATCACCTCCGCTTTGTATTTTAATTAGTACGACGGGGCTCGCATATTCTGACGTAGATTTGGTGACGATGTCATGCTGCAACAGCTCGTCGATCATGCTGTTAACAATACTACGTTTCGGCTCTGGAATGCGATACGGTACTTGAGCTACTGTTTGGCTACTCTCAAGTTCGATGCTAGCTTCGACCACGTCCGTTTTACCAATACCGTCTAGTCCAGTAGAGAAAACGTCGGCAAAGTTCTCTAAAAGACCCTGCGTCTTTACCCGTTCAGCTTCGTTGCTGAAATTAGATAATAGTTTAGAAAATTTGCAATTAGATATTACCGGCTGTTGTATTAATTGTTTGTTTTCGAAGATGGTGCGACCACTGTCGATTTTCATCGTTACGTTGGCATTAACGATTACATCTTGGCCTAACAAAACGTCTTGTTGCACTAGATTATCGTCGGCAATGTAAACTTGTGCCGTGATGACAGCTTTGATGATATCTACGATGATAGCTTCGTTGAGTATGCGTACGCCTCCACAAATGCCTTTTATTTTCACACAGCACTTGCGCCTTTCAGCCTTGATTCGTTCGGCTACAGATTCGCGAATGATACTGCATTGGCTTCCAGTATCGACGAAAGCAGTATACGGTTTTGACTGTATATAAATCGTTTTGTTGAAGCACTCGTCACAATTTGTAACGCCAAGTCGTCGTACATTTGCGGCTTTGTCACAATTTCCATCGTTTGGGTGAACCTTGTTGCATGTTGTACATCGTTGACGTTTCTGCGGTAATGGACACTTATTGGAGAAGTGACCGGCTTCGTTGCAGTTATAGCACTTAAGTTGGGCTCTCGTAGATTCACGCTGCTTAGCTGCTTCGCCCACTTTGGCCTTTTGTTCGTCTCGCTTCACCGTATTAAACTTCATTGCTGCAATACTCTGCTGAAGCTCACGAAGCTTCAGTCCTACCCTTATGTAACGTATAATAGCGGATTCACTAAGATTGTATCGAACTCCCATTGATGAGACTCGAAAACAATACTCGTTGATACGTTCTTTT